TCATGGTTAGTGCATATCTGTAACCGTCACATTCGGGAAGTATTATTAAGATTGAAAGCTTGTGGCGTAAGTTTATTATGCCTGTTTATTTTTGCTTGTTGACAACTTTGGCACGATCGTACCCAATTCGCGACATCTTTTCGGATTGACGGCCACACGTACTTGCTGCATAGTTGTTTTGTCGTTGACTTAGTACCAGCATGTGCTAAGGAGTGCACTGTATCAAATGTCTTCTTTCGAAGTGATGATGGAATATATGGTCTGATGATTCCTGTTGATACATCACAAAAGGTTGACATATCGGGTTGTAAAAAAAGTTTTTGTAATTGAAGTGCTGAATCTGACTTTAATAGCTGCTTAAGCTCTTCGTCTATTTTCTGATGGTTGCTAATCATCTCGAGATCTATAACCGTAGGCATATTAATTGCATCAATTCTGGATAAACTATCAGCCACTATGTTGTCATTACCATCTATGTATGATATGCTTGTTGTAAACTCTGCAATAAAACTTAGTTGTCGTAGTTGACGTGGTGAAACTTTATCTGACTTTTGTTGGAATGCATAAATGAGCGGTTTGTGATCTGTTTGAATTGTAAAATTTCTACCTTCCAGTAAATGTCTAAAATTTTTGATGGCTAAATATATAGCTAGCAACTCTCTGTCGTACGTGCTATAATTCTTCTGTGCTGCCTTGAGCTTCGAAGAGAAAAACGCAACCGGTCGCCAAACATCACCTTCTTGCTGTTCCAGTACTGCACCAACTGCGTTGCTTGATGCATCCGATGTCAATCGAATTGTACTTAATGGAGACAAAAATGTTAATTTAGGTAACGCGGTTACACTTGTTTTACAGTTTTCAAACGCTGCATCTAACGTGGTAGTCCATGTTATAGGCGTGTTGTCGTTCTTTTTTGAATTTTTTAATAGCTCATTTAAAGGTGCTTGTAATTTGGCGGCCTGTGGAATACACTTGCGGTAATAATTTAGGATTCCCAAAAAACGACGAATTTCTTTTACTGTCTTTGGCTTCGTGTATTCATTAATTACTCTCACTCGTTCTACAGGCGGGCTGATACCATCGACTGATACATCATACCCTAAAAAACTTAGTTGTGAAACTCCGAACTCGCACTTAGCGGTGTTTATGACAAGCTTGGCCTTATTGAGTGTTTTTAGTACTGCTTCTACATGTTCCAAATGCTGCTGTTCACTTTCTGAGAATATTAAAATATCGTCAAGGTAGCAGAAGACAAATGGCATTTTCCTGAACAATGAATCCATATACCTTTGAAAGGTTTGCGTAGCGTTTTTAAGACCAAACGGCATGACTACAAATTCAAATAACCCAATGGGTGTACTTACTGCGGTTTTGCATATGTCATCAGCTTGCATCGGTATGTTGTAGTACGCTCTATGTATATCAATCTTTGAAAATAATTTGCTAGCATGTAGTTTTTCCGTTACTTGGTCTAGGTATGGTATTGGGTACCTATCTGGTTTGGTTTGCGCATTTAGTTTTCTAAAGTCACCGCAGGCTCTCCAAGCACCTGTTTTCTTTTTTACCAGGTGAATTGGACTCGACCACGGACTGTTTGACGGACGAATAATTCCTTGCTCCAACAGCGTTGAAAATTCTTCGCGAATTGCCTTTAATTTTTCCGTTGAATAACGGCGTGACCTTTCATGCACTGGCTGACCATCAGTGACTATTTGATGACAGACTACAGATGCGTCAGGGAGGCTATAGTTATTTGCACTGCACAAATCAATGTATTTGTTGACGATTGTAAAGAATTTTGAATTTGGATCCAATGTGTATACCGAATGTATCGATGTGGTTTCAACTGCACCAGATGACGACAATGTAGTAAGCGGGTCTAATAACCGTCTTGATTTTATGTCTGGAATTAGACCATATTTCGCCAGAAAATCTGCGCCCAAGATTGGACATTTGACGTCTGCTATAATGAAGTTCCAATTGAAACTGCGTCGTAAACCAAGATTGATGCTAAGTCTCTTAGTACCGTACGTTTTAATAAATGAATTATTTGCTGCGAATAATTTTAGTTCATCTGGCACTAGGTTGCGTTTCACTGTGATTGCTGCTAAAGGAATAATGGATACGGCCGATCCGGTGTCAACTAGAAACTTCATATTTGAGATACGATCAATTACATGTAAACGAGCTTCTTCAGTGCAGTGTTCCAGCGCGTTGTCGTTTACTGCACTTGTGGACGACAACGGTTTTAGTTTTCCTTCTGTTTGATATTAGTTGTTTGGCAGCCGAACTCGCATGGTTTTAAGCATTTTGTTGCAGCTGTTCCAAATTTAATGTGATAATAACAGACTTTTCGATCTTCACGCTGACTTTTAAACTGAGTTCTGCTAGAACTGCGAGCCCTGCTTCGCCCCTGTGAGTTTGCTGGTCGTCTGAGCTCTATTGCTATTTCACTTAGTTTACTTACCACTTGTTGCAGAGATATTTCTAACGCTGTCACACGTGCCTCCAATGTTGATTCCTCTGTGTTACTGCGTCGGTTAATTGCAGATGCGGTAGCCATAACATAATGAGGAGTGGGCATATTGTCAGTTATTCTATCTGCCAATTCGGCCATTTGATTAACATCCTTGGAGCTGCACGCAGATAAGATGCAACGAATGTTACTAGGCAATCGCTGCAACCAAAGTGCTGACAAGGCGTCTTCCGACATATTTGACGCTGCCAGATCTCTCATCTCTCGGAGCAACTGCGTTGGACGCTTGTTAGACACGTCTAAATCCGTTAGCAATTTAATCAATTGTTTCTGACGCGACTCCCCAAATCGTGAAATTAATTCATTTTTCAACGTTTCATATTTGCCCGTAGCTGGCGGATTTTTTGCTATGTCTGAAACTTGACGAAGCGTTTCGCCGTCTAGTGCTGTGATTACCGTGTAGAATTTGGATAGATCAGAGGTGATGCGATTGATGTGTAGTAATCCGTCCACTTGAGTAAACCATAACTCCGGGTCAGTTTGCAAAAATGAAGGCAAATTCGTTAACTTTACTGCATCAATATCGTTTTTTACTGTTGTGAAACTCGTGTCTGCCGCTGCTGACTTTGCTGTTGTTTCTTTGTTGGCATTAGACATTTCTGCTTCTTTGTTCAGCATTGCGTCACCCAACATTGTGCAAGTTTGTTTTGACTTTATGAAATAAATAAATAACTTGCGCTGCTTCCAATTATGTGTTTAATTTGCGTCGGGGTCACCAATTATGTGGGTTTTTACCACATACTTTATTTTAAATAAATATAACAAATGTTTACAAAATGATAAAAACGTTGTGTTACTAAAACGTGCAAAATAGGAAGAAGAAGGAAGCCAGTTATTGAAGTTAGCTGCTCATTGAAAAATGTTCCTTTTGCCCACAGATGGTGCGAGTGCGTGTACATTCACACACAGAGGGCGCTGCAGTATGTGTGGCGAGTTCGCCACAAGTCCATTACGTCTAGAATGGGTCATGCGAATGGTTCCCATGCACCCTACTTACATTACGTAATACTGATTCGGATAAACTTTTATATATTAACTTTTGGGCGAGGCTTATTGTTTTAGATTGTTGAAATCCATTCGAATCCTTGGAATCCTCGGAACTTTTTTGGAATGCTCTCTACAACAGACATCACAAGTCAGAGCTTGTGTTTGAAGGGAATATCTGTTAATTATAGTCAAAAAATTTAAGGGATATCTAAATCTAAATATAAATCATTAAACTAAATGCATCGTAAAATAATTGTAATATCGAAATAAAATTTCGTGCAAATAATATTTTAATTATGTTTACGCTATGTTTACACTGTTGTACTTATCTGCATAAGAACGACAAATGTGCGGCAAATAATAATAATATTTGGGTAAATAACAAACTATATTAATTCCGTGAATAAATATTGGGCTAAAATAAATATATACCGCTCTTGAAAATTGATTTTACAAAAATTGCGAAAAGATGATGATAATATAGTTTTTAATCTAAATTTATAAGTTATGTTAAATATAACTTAATAACTAAAGTTTAAGTTAGGCGCATATTTCCAGTCTTACGCACAATTAGGACAATATGGTGTTTAATATAAACATCTTTTCAATATTATTATTCTAAGGGTCCAAGCAGTTATAAATTGCAGTAGTAAATATTTTCTATATATAAAAAATTGAAGTTTTTGATCAAACGGTTATTTTAAATAATGCCAAATATCCATCATTACTGGGCTGAAATAATTCTGTTTTGGTTTATAAATCCGTACATAACATTATTGACCACATGTGTCAGATTTAGCAATTTAAATATGTTAACTATACTCTTAACTCAACCCTTAGTACTTGCAGTCGCAACAAAATATTTACGCTAAATTAAATATAAGAAATAATTCCAGAAAGACCACTGACAATAGGTATTTGGCAATACTCAAAACAGCTGAATGGCCAGCCAAAAATTCAAATAATTATTAAATTTTTTTTTTTTTTGATTTCATACAGTTTGAAATACCTCTCTATTGAAAACAATAGTTTATATTAAGAATTTGGTTTCTTTCGTTAAAACTGATGTTAAAAATGAATTTTGTATAAAGTATATAATAAATATTTTGTGTTAATCCGTCGCAATTCTTAATTAAGTGTTTTAATATCAAAAGACAAATAATAATATAGAAAAGTGTTACATCTTGCAGTAAACGACAAATAATAATATTGAAAAGTGTTACATCTATACAACAAATATTCTAAATTGCTAGGCCCCGCCAGAGTGCGAATGTAATTGCATTAAACAGCTGATTTTGAAGTTTCTCCATCAGCTGTGTTAGTTTTTGTTTATAGCTTGTGAAAAGTGAAAAATTGTGAGTTTGCCGGATTGCGTTTAAATTCATAACAAAATGGTAATAAATTATATTATTATAAATTAAACACGTGTATTTGTACTTTATTGTACTTGCAGTAATAATACCATTCCAATATTTATTTGAGTTAAAATATATTATACATATGTTTTGTTTAATACTTAACTAAAGTTTTACTTTGAGTTTCATAGAAAGTTAAAATAATTATTAATTTAAGTTAAATACATTTGATCGCCATTGTGTTCATCTGAGCCTGGACTTAAAAGCTGTGATCTTTTGCCACCCCAAGAATGAAATCTTTGTTTTTTACCCAGTACAACTGAGTTGCGTTTCTCGTCGCGTTGAGACTTTATATGACAGCGTTCGATGACCGCTTCCCGTATAACATTTGTAAACTCCACGTCATTGAATTGTGCCATTAAAAGTTTAAAAAAAGCCCATATTTCTGATCTTTGTTCAGGCGGTTGGTAATTGTGCAGAAATATTGGTGATACCAATAAGTCGTCACCTTCACGTGTTGTTCTCCCAGCGTTGCCGACACCTTGAAAAACATGACTTTCCATAGTTACGGGATGTGCGTTGTATGCATCACAAACATCTTCAAAGCTGATTATTGCTTGCAGTAAAAACTTTCGGTATTTGGACAACTGCTCTTCGCAAGTATTGAGCTCATCTGTTGCACTTAGTCCTGGTGATGCTCTGTTTAATATATTAGCCTTTGCAGCGAATTGCTTGTAAAACCATATCAGCGCCACAAGCAGTAAAATTTTTGGTGCAAGCATAGTTGGTGGCCTGAAGGTTGAGCTGTAATGTACAAATTCATTATTTTTGTTGAAACTATTAATATTCATTATTTAATTTAGATCTGGCAAATATTGGAATAGATAAAGTCGGTTTTGTTTTTTACGAATTTTAGCTTTTATTTCGATCGTTAATTTTGGTATATTTCTACACGTATTTTGACAAATTCGGTTTTGTCTTCCAGATAATTCCTAATATTAAAATATTATTCCTAAGGATAATGATGAAAGAGAATTCCTTATATTGGAATATTATTCGTAAGGATAATGATGAAGGAGAATTGCTAATATTGGAATATTATTCCTAATATTAAGAATTCTTCTGATGAAGGCAAGAACGAATTTGTCGGAATACGTTTAAAAATATACTAAAAAGAACGATCGAAATAAAAGCTAAAATTCTTAAAAAACAAAAGCGACTTTAAATATTTTCGACGTAACAACTCAAAAATTATAAACAAAATTACTTTGGAATAGATATTTTAAGACTGCAATACAACTGAATAGGTCTTTATTTAGTAAAATTATATAAAATTATATTGTTACAAAGAAAAAAACTAAAGTTGCCGGTTCACGGATGTTAAGGCACAACACCTTCTCAAATATCATCTATTGTTCTCCTACACTCTAAGATATTTAATTTTTAACAATTTTTCTTAAACATCTTGTTTCGTACTATCATTTATTTAATACTTTTGTTATTACATTCAATGGCGTACTTTCATTATCGCAGCCAATAATCAATTTAAATTTTTGAAAAATTAATTCGACGGACTCAATATTATGGGATTAATCTTTTCATCGAGATTGTTACCACTTCCACTTTAAATTAGTATCATACTTTGTTATAAAGTTATTTATATGTTCTAATGAAGAAAACATTAAAGTTTATACTGTGTTAAAGAGAATTTTAATGCTTTTTAATGCTTTACGTATGTACTGAAGCACACGCCCTGTCCCATATGACATATCAATCATGAAATATGTTAGAGCAGTGGTCTTGTACTGCAATTAACCTTAAACAATCAATTATCGTGTAGTATTAAAAAAACGTTTTTGCTTTAAAAAAATTTATCTCTATAGTTGCGGTATTATTTTTACTTAAAAAAATTGTTACCAATTTAAACTCAATTTTTTTTTTGTTTTGTATTGAAGAGTATAAGATGCTAAAAATCCAAATACGAGAAAATGAAAGTGGTATGTTGTTGCTGTTGGTCCCGTTGTTAATATTGCTATATCCTATACAGTTTTGTTATATGTTTCTACTGACTTCCTATGTTTTATTTATCTTTCTTAATTAATTAAGTATAATTATTACTGCGTTTTTAGCTTAACGCTTGTCAAATTTGATTTTGTCTAAATGCAAATCTAAAGATATTTTCAATTTCTGAATTGTTTACTTTCCCAATCTATGATACGCTTTGATTTCCCCGACATGTCCATTTGAAAACGGATTGTAATAAAAGCCGGCTAAAAGTATAAGAAAGTTTAAAGAAAAGAAATTGACTACTGCAGTCCATTGACAAATCGGTATGACCAGGAAATCGTAATCGTATCCATGATAAAAGGATACTAAATTTATTGACAATAGAATATTAAATGAATTAAGCAAAAATTTGAGGATCGGAATCATACACATAATAAAACAATACTGACTTTATTGTCAACCAAATTTTGAACGAAGGAGATAATTTTTGGAAATAGGAATTACGAAGTTTTGAAGTTTCGGAATAAAACAATGTAGTGTCAAAAAATGATTCGTTGGATCTAGAAATTAAAATGCATTATGGAAGGGGTAATGCATTTTCAATATTAACTGTGTGAGAGAAGGTCAAAGTAAATTCGATTAGTTAGTTAAGTCAAACATCACCAATCAAATAGCTTAAATTAATTATCAGCCTATTAAATATCTTTTAAATTTATATCTAATCTATTCCTAAACTAAATTGGTACCGCCAACTTTGGTAGTTAAAAGTTGATCTCTCAAAAAATATTAAATTATTGTCGAAAAACTATTTAGCCCAAAAATGTTAAATATATTTTTTATCTTTTATTTCAAAACTAGGACCTTATTTTCTTGCAAACATTTTCTGTGAAATAATTTCCATCTATCATTATTATCTATCTATCTATATCTATCTATTTATATCTACCTATTTTGTTCTGAACTTGCAATTTGGTACTGGTACTTATTAGAGATATTGGAGATATTTTAACTAAAATTTTTTTTTTGGTTTAATTCTGTTAATGACTGTATCAGGATTGTACCTTTCGAAATATTTTTACTCAAAAACTCGTATTTTTGATTGTATCTTTATAACTATCAAAATGAACTAAATTAAATTTGGAATATTACGAATTCTCCTGATAAATGCAAAAGCGAATTTATACTTATACAAATATACTAAAAATAACGATCGAAATAAAAGTTAAAAGTTTTAAAAAAACAAAACCGAATTTAAATTTTCGACGTAACAACTCAAAAATTTATTACTATTGAATATAACATGAAGAATAAATGCTTCATAAAAATTCTTCATATAAATTCTTCATATTAGTTCTAAAAAACTAATAAATATTTTAAATATGTGTGCTTAAAATAATAACACTTGAGTATTTCCCTAATATATTAAAAAAATGACATTAATTCATATATTATTATTTGTTGTAATAAAGTTTGAACTAAGATTTTTTATATATAAATTTTACTACAAACTTTATATAAAAAATTTTTGTCTATAACTGAAAAAAAATTATGAAATGTGTTTTGCAAATTAAATGAATGAAATTCACTCTACTTATAATTTTTTTTAAATTTATTCATTATTTAAATAATAAAAAAATTAATAAATTTTAATTAGTTTTGCCGAAAAAGTTACGCTTTTTTCTCAGTGCAGGTCGCTATAACAACTTATTGTGCAAATATAGTATAACGAATACTTATACCAAAACATTAAGGATTAAAAAATTACTATATAAAAAAATTAGAATTAAGAACTCAAAAATTAGTTATTTACTTAAAAATATACAAAATTTCTTTTAAAAAAAGATAAAAATTTAAAACAAAATAATTAAATAATAAAACAATAATATTGAAGTAAGATAAAATAGCAATATTACTAGAAATAGAAAGAAAAATAGAAACAGAAAAAGTTAGTTATTTTGAGAAATTTTTTTAACTACTTTATATGTAGATATAGTTTACTTCACTCTTTTAAAAAAACATATAATATATAAAAATTTAAAACAAAATAATTAAATAATAAAACAATAATATTGAAGTAAGATAAAATAGCAATATTACTAGAAATAGAAAGAAAAATAGAAATAGAAAAAGTTAGTTATTTTGAACAACTTTTTTAACTACTTTATATGTAGATATAGTTTACTTCACTCTTTTAAAAAAACATATAATATATAAAAATTTAAAACAAAATAATTAAATAATAAAACAATAATATTGAAGTAAGATAAAATAGCAATATTACTAGAAATAGAAAGAAAAATAGAAACAGGAAAAGTTAGTTATTTTGAGAAATTTTTTTAACTACTTTATATGTAGATATAGTTTACTTCACTCTTTTAAAAAAACATATAATATATAAAAATTTAAAACAAAATAATTAAATAATAAAACAATAATATTGAAGTAAGATAAAATAGCAATATTACTAGAAATAGAAAGAAAAATAGAAATAGAAAAAGTTAGTTATTTTGAGAAATTTTTTTAAGTACTTTATATGTAGATATAGTTTACTTCACTCTTTTAAAAAAACATATAATATATAAAAATTCAAAACAAAATAATTAAATAATAAAACAATAATATTAAAGTAAGATAAAATAGCAAAATATTACTAGAAATAGATAGAAAAATAGAAATAGAAAAAGTTAGTAATTTTAAACAACTTTTTTAACTACTTTATATATAGATATAGTTTAGTTCACTAGATATGAATACCCTAGCTCAATAACTTACACGTTAGTTTTTTAAGATTTACAAAATTATTATCAATTTCTATTTAGCAAGATTTAATAAATAAAGCAGTGAAGAAAAAAAAACTTATTAGATTGTGAGTCTTCCTCTTGTTGATAGTTTTAATGTAATGTAAACATTTTTGACTTTAAAACTCTATAACTCGAAAACGAAGGTGTGTTATACAATACAGTAAATAAAGTTACTCAAAATAGTTATATTTACTAAAATTAATTGTCAAATGGGTGCGCTGGGAAACTTGAAACGAATTTATTTATTGTTTTATGTAATATATCAAAATAAGCTAAGCTAAGAATATTTTTATTAATCTAAAAATATCTTTATTTAATGTACTTTTATAATTTTTAATGTAATTGAATAATTAATAACATTATTCTAAATTTATTTAACAATTGATCTATGTTAATAAAATTTATTTAAACAAAATTACTCAAAGTTATTCTACACTTTCTTAACAATTGATCTATGTTAATACAATTTTTTTGAAATCACAAAAACTATAGATAAGAATTTACAAAAAAAAAACTTTTTTTAACTATAAAATTCCCTGTAATAATATATATAAATCAAAATTTAGATAAAAATCACTTGCCTTTGCACACAACACTTTTTTGTATTTGCCACTGAAGGCAATTTCCTTATTTTATTAGAACAATAATTGAAAATAAAAGAAAACAAAACTCAGCTTCAAATATTTTCACTTCACACTGAGTAAGTAGCGAACCAACGTGTTGCCGAATCTTCCGACACTACCATGACCAACTATGGAAATTTTAAAATTGTGACCGTTTTTATAGCAAAACGTCGGAAAAACAGTGCAAAGGTTGGTAACGCGACGCTGTGTAACGTACGTACAGTTAATTAAATAATTATGAACAACGTCAACATTTCTAAGCCGTTACACTTACAACTTTTAACAAAGATAAATAATATAATTGTAGCATGCTTTTCGGCGTACTCATACACCCACAAGCGGTGCTGCCCAGTAGAAAACGGATCGATCCATCATCGAAGACGTCTTCAAGACATGGATACATACATGAAGACCGATCGATCCAAATGTATGACGGTCTTCGAAGACATTTTCATACAAATTAGCCAAATGTCTTCAATGAATTTTTGTGTACATGTCTCGAAGACCGTCTCGAAGACCATGTCTTGCATAACGGACGCATTCGACAGAAAGTTGTGCGCTCTTAGTGCAGTGCTCATATAATTTTTTCACCCTTTTTTTTATTTCTACTCTTTTATTGCACTCTTTAAATTTTAAATGAATTTCAATTTTCTCTTTAAATAAGTAGAAAGAAATTGTTGTATTTTGTACTTTTATTTATTTTATATAATAATTTCTTACATTACATTCAAAATTAAAAGTTTTAAAAGTAAATTATAAATTTTATTATAAATTATTATAAATTTTATTAAGATATTAATAATAAACTAGTAAAAACTAGTAAACATAATGAAAATTAATTTAAATAATTAACTTAATATAACTTAGCATATCTAAAATTAACTAAAACTAATATAAAATAATTTATAGCATTTCGCTATCATCAATTGTTGAAGTTTTATATGTTTTCAAAAGCGTTGAAGAGGATTTTGGTACAATTAAACCTTCTGATCTTAAGAGTTCTAAAATATCATTACCACAACGCCTGTTAATCCTGTGTTTTTTAAATATAACAGCTAATTTTTCACAAGTGTTTTCAGTTTTTTTATTTTCAACATCCTTTGTTTCGTTTCTTAAATAACTTTCAATGGAATTATTGTCTTCAATATTAATATCAATATATTTTCCAGGAACTAAGTCACTATTTAATTTGTTTTGATTTAATATCTTTTTTTTTAATATTTCATAGTTTAATGATTTTGTTTCTTTATTCATTTTGATTTTTTTAATATTTATTTCACAAATGTTTATTCACTACACTTCAAAATTATTGCGTCACTTCATTTATAAAACATAGCGTCATCTGAGGTAAAATTCAAATTCGATGCTATGAACACTAAAAATGAGAGAGAAAGCAAAGAAAGAGTATTTATATTCATGTTTTGAGCAATTGTTTTGCAAATTTGCTTGAACATGCGGACGCAGTATCAAAGACCGTCTTGAAGACAATGTCTTCGAAGACCACTTTTTCTACTGGGTGGCTGTTGCTCACAGCCACTCACAGCCACTCACACACACACAACGTACGAGTATGCAAACAGTTAAATGCGAGCAATTGGTATATGCAACAAGTGTCATAATTCTTGTTGTCGGTATCCTGCGACTGTCAGCTTCGGAATTATTAATTGCCACAGATTAGCGCAGTAGTTAACTTTAAAATGGTAAAATTATAAAAAAATATGTAAATAAAAACAAACACTGAATTATAAAAAGCAATATTTCTGAGAATACGTTGTGCATACATAAATAAATGCGTCGTTTTTTCTTTTCCAAATGCCGTTTTTAACCAAGAACCAAACCTACTTTACTGATAATTGGCAAATATCAAGAAAGTTAATACAAATAATTTTCCTTCATATTCTCCCACATTTGAAGATATATTTAAGTTAATCACTTAAAAGAAACATCAACCAAAATATGTTAATTATACATTGAAACCTTTTTATTTTATTTTTTATTTAAACTGAAGTAGTCGTTAAAGTGCGTAAGTGCTAAGTAATTGGCAACACATAGAAAACGACAACAAATATTGAATCTTCCTCCCACTTAAACTTAAATGTACTGTGAATTTCTGAGATACTGCTTTGTTAGCTTAAGTGTGAAATCATTTGTTCACTTGTTCTTATTGACCTATAAAATTTAGCGAAAACATTTTGATTTTACGAATGCTTGAGTTTTGTTTTAATTTATTAATAACTTTTAATTGAGACTTTGTTGTTTTTTTTGTAGAAATTTCGTTTTTGTGGAGATGGCGATTGTCCTGACTGGGTTTTGGCAGAGATTATTTCTAAACTGTCTACACTAACAGCGGAAAACTTGGAAAAATTAGCAGGACTGGTGGCGAAAAGGATTATAGACGATAATTTAGACGTAAGATAATGTATTGTTGTGAATATTGAATTTAATCTTTGAAATAGTTTTTAAGAATGTCAGTTACTTTGGGAAATAAGATTTCATGTATAATTATTAGGTTGTTCGGAAAGTAATTTCATTTTTTTTGGTGGAAATGAAAGACAGTTTTCGTATAATAAATAAATACTTTATTAAATTATATATCGGTCGTTCTGGTCCAACACCTTTTGCCATCTTTCTGGTAGTTCATACAATTTTTCGTCTTTGTTGGCAAAAAAGTGATCGAGGTAATTTTTGACCTCCTCATTTGAGGTGAAGGTTTTACTATCTAAAAAACTTTGGAGTGACCGGAACAAATAATAATCCGATGGTGCCAGGTCTGGAGAATATGGTGGGTATCTGATTCAAGTTGTAAAAGCTTTCCATACACATCGGTCAATTTCTTTCTGGCTTGAACAGCATTTTTATCCTTTCTGTATCTTCCGCCTTTACCTTTTTATCCTTTACCCTTTCGCTCTCCATATTTAAAAGGGCATCAACTAAAAACTACTGCATATAAAAAATAAGTTGATTGGCCAGGTAAAATAACTGGCCAAGAGTTAAACAAAATGTTTTAATAACCCACTGTTTCGTTGATTAATAATCCAAACACATAAAAAAATTAGTATTTGAAATAAATTGTTATAACATTTCACATTAATTGCATGTACCATACTATAACATAAATCTATATTGAAGATATATTTTATTATTCTTTATATATATCATAGGAAGATGATATTAAGATCTGTATCGGCACTGATTCATACGAAGGAAAGTCAGCTATAGCTTGCGTACACTTTCTTCTGGTAAATGCCGCCCGACACAATGTAGCTGAGAGTGTTTTTAATGAGGAAATTCAACAACTGGGTTTACCAAAAGATCATGCGGCTGCAGTGAGTCGCGTACTTACGGCAAATGCGACATCAATTCGCCAAAAACTAGTCGACAAAGCATTTAAAAGTATTAAAATACTCATATACACTATATTTCCTATAATAATGTAATCTTTTTCTTATTTTTTAGTTAATGAGTTAACTTCGGTGCGATATATTTCTCCAACTGAAGACACTAAAACGATTAACTGTGCCACATTTGAAATAAAACTATCAGATGAAGTAGTTAATGATTTACCTGAGGAGTGCACAACTCATATTGTCAATATGAGCTATGAAAATGTTAAAGCACTATTAGAAGAACTCAAAATCGCACAGGATCTTATACAACAGAATTCAATAGAAGAATGGAGTGGTGCATCATAATAAAATGCTTTTGTGCGATTAAAAAATATTTGAATAATGGTAAATTTGCATGTTAGTATTAACAATATCGAGATTTTTAAACTAAGTTAACTGATAATGGACACAATTAGATATAGTTTTAAGTTTATTATTTCAATTGATCTTGTGGAATACAAGTATTTTGATATATCACTCTATGAAACTCGCTACGTTGTAACCAATTATTTGGATTAAGCCTGACACAATACCATATTTTGATGATAGTTAATGTCAGCATTATAATTGATTAAATACGTAAAAGAAATATTCATTTATATATATATATCTGTTTCGAAGTCCACATTACTAACTATTGTGACTTTGATGATTCATATTTATATTTTGAGCTAATTCCATCGTTACCGTTATCTGGGTCAACAGTGCATTAACAACAGAAAATGACAACTGCTGAGGAAAGTATTGTGCTACAAAATGGTCAGTTTCTGTGAAATGTAAACGGTCAACGCTGGGAGAGCCGTTCTGTTTTGATGTATAAACAAATTAAGTCTAAATCCAAATAAATAATGCTCTAAAAAATAAAATAAATCTATTTGAACATAAAAAAAAGATTTCTAATAATATATAATAAAATTTTATTCGATTATATTTAAGTTTTAAGTTTATGCCTTGTTTTTAAATGGCATTTTATGTCATTTTAAATGACAATTACAATTGACTAGTGTTTCAAATGCGTTTTCATTACATGACAAGAATTCGAATATGACATCATATGACTACTCGTTTTCATTATACTGGGAAGATTTGCCATTGAAAATGACATAGTGGAAACGATGCATTATATTACAATATCGGGAAACTGGAATATTACAAGGAATTTTGGTAAATTTCACAAATTTCAAAATATCAGTCCCAACAAAGTATGAAACTAAATACGCCATCTGACGACAACTTTTATATTGAATATATAAACTACGATAAATAATAACTGAATGCGCCAGATAAATATAGACCAGTGTTTCTCAAACTTTTTTCTGATTCGTCGCAATAGGTACGCAGCATTTTTTTTTTTAAGGATTAACAATTTTTTATTTTGTTTTGCAATAAAAAACTTAGCACCTTTCTATAAGTGGACAATTTGAATTTCATGACTTTTTATTGTACAATCGTAATTGAATTGAATACCAATATATCATCAATATCAAAAATCAACCTCGTCGTTTACCTTTTTTACGATTAATCTTTCAGTCTATTAAAATTTAAGTTTTAATTGAGCTCCTTTAACATTCAAATTTTTTGTATTTATAACAATTGATTACAACTTCCATAAGCCATTAGGTGTATTCGTAGTAAAACTCTACTACTCGTAGTAAAACTCAAGTAAAACACAAGTAAAGTACAAACTGAGAGTGTAATACAAATAAAGTGCCAAATTACCCTCTTTACACTGATTTTCATGGAAGAAGTTTGTGTAGTGGCTGATGAGAACACCAGTGTCGCGCAAATATACAACACAAAAATTTAAATTCAAATCAAAACAGCTGAATTACACATCACACAAATTTTACTTAAAATAAAATGTACGAGTACAGTCTGTGTAGCAGTTTTAAATTTCGAAAGGAATGTTATGTTACGTTCTCTCAGATGCTCTCATTTACTCGAAAATTTGCTGGTGAAACGCACTTGTGTATACCATTTGATCAAAAAAGAACGAAAAGTTTAAAAAAAAACGCAAAATTTTAATTTTTAATCATTTTCTTTATTATCGCCTTCAAAGTACTCTCCTCCTGCGGCAATACATGCATGCCAACGCTTGATCCAATTTTCCATAAAAGTTTTATAGGCCGCCGAAGGTATGGCCTTTAGTTCACGCAGCGAATTCTCTTTTATGGCCTCTATGGTCTCAAAACGCGCTCCTCGCAATGGCAATTTGAGTCGGGGGAAGAGGAAAAAGTCACACGGGGCCATATCTGGAGAGTACGGTGCTTGATGCTTGGTTGATAATATTGGTGTAGTTTTTGGCCAAAAACTGCGACACAACCAACGCTGTGTGAGCCGGTGCGTTATCGTGGTATAAATTCCATGAGTTCCATCTTCCATGAATCTGGCCTCTTTTTGCGAATGGCCTCACGCAAACGATGCATAACGGGAAAATAATACTCCTTATTGACCATTTGACCATCCGGAAGGAATTCATAGTCCACCACACCACGAATATCGAAGAAAACAGTCAGCATAACCTTGATTTTGGACCGACTTTGGCGTTCTCTTTTCGGTTTCGACTCACCTTCAAAGCACCATTCGGTTGATTGTTGTTTGGTGGGCATGTCAAATTCATAGACCCATGTCTCATCACCAGTTATGATGCTTTCAATGAATGTGGGGTCACTATCTGCGTTTCTGCGTTGGAAATCATTTCTTTGGCCACATCATAACGACGCTTTTTTTGAATGAAATTCAGCTAAAAATCGCCACACGATAATTTTTCAACTTGTCTGTTGAGACGCCAAACAAAAACTAATCATACGATATACGTTAAACTTTGACAGAATGTGTATAATAACATAGTGTTGCAAGCGTGAAAATAAAAAAAATTTACCGATTGGATAAGCGCGGGAATTCAAAAAAAGAACGAATAAGTTCTTTTTTGATCACAAGGTACACAGTGTTACTTAAAGTTACTACGAGTAGCTTGTGGAACAAACCTATTATTTATTAGTTTGTTTTAATTTAAAAGTGCTGTAAATGATTCTGAGAAATCAGAAAAAAGTAACAAAAACTTTGAAATGTAACCTGATTTGTCAGGTTTAAAGTTATAAGTCGGCACTTGTAGGTCCATAATTATGTATGGACTTATATAACTTATAAATACTTTGACAGATCACTAACGATGAGTATTTTCAATAAATACATCCTTCAATAAATTATATAAATTATATGTTGAAATAAATAAAATTATAGCGAAATATTTTTCAAAAACTCTGTATCTATTATAAATAGTATCTGTTAGATGATAGTGAATAAAAAACACTATTAGTAATCTTACTTCTGTTTGAGATTATATTGTGTTAAGATTTCTTAATGTTTATTGAACTTTATTGATCTTAAAATTTCTCGCTTTTAATTCTTTCAGATATGTAACTAGTACTGAAAACAGAGATGTTTCACATAACAATTTTAATTGGTAAATCTGTAGTAATTTTTTCAATCGAGATGGTCTTTTAATGCACTTTTAATTAATTTTATTTTCACTCGAGAATAATTTATAACACTCTAGTTATTTTGCCAGAATAGCAACAGAAATTAGAAATTAACAGCTATTTTATATGATTTAACAGATAAAGTGTGATTTAATTCGATATATGCATTTGCGATATTCCAGGTATTTACTACTAACAGTACTAACAAATTTTTAAATTACTCTAAAAGTATACGATTGGACAACAAAATTTGACAGACTGTGAGTAAATCTAGATTTACCAATCGAAAAGCCAATAGCAGAATATGTTATTATCACGGTTGCCACTTATGGTACTTTAGTACCAAAATTGGTATTTTTTTTTCCGTTTGGTACTCTGGTACTCATGTTCAAAAAATGGTACATTTTCGGCGACCCAACTTTATTGTGGATATTGTATTGTTTTATACTTTTTGTACATTTTATATAAATTGTATTTTCTAATAAAAAGACAATAGAAAAATTTTGGACCTTTTTTTACAGAAATGGTACCTTTTTAAACCAATTTTGGTACAGAAAAAAATTTTCAAGTGGCAACCGTGGTTATTATTTAATATATTCTGTACTATAAATTAGTTTTAGTTTTGGCGTTTTTCTATTGGTCACTACATTAAGAACAAATGGATGATATGTTCAATACTTCATCTATTAGCTTTCCCATATTTACCAAACGGTTTTGGTTTGTGTACTAAATTTGTGAAAATTCAGATTATTTTCTAAAACCGACGCTAGAGTACTTTACAATCACTTTCAAACTTCTGCAAATACCAACAGTTTAAAAGACTGTAAATATAAAACTGGAAAACTTGTGTTTCAAGCTATTATTAAATATTAATTATTAATTGTTTAAAAAAATGTCTAGATAATTTGCATAGAGGTTAGTAAAAATAAGTAATAAATACGGCATACGTATCCATACCTTTGATATTAATTAAATCGAGTATGTTTATACTGATGTTCTATATGTACATAAACTTTTTCTCAGATTTATTCAATGTTTATAGCATAGCTACCGAGCACATTTGCTAGCTTATACGTAATGTTTGGGTGACCGAAGTGAAAGGGTTTAATTTATATTTGATGGGAAATCACCTCATAAATAACATGAGATTTTCTATGATGACTTTCTTTAATAAATTAAGTTGGGGATTGTTTGTATCAAACTTATTAATTTTTTTTTTATTTTTTTACATCTATTTCCACTATGGATGCTAAATTGATCTTCAGGTTGGTTTTTATAACTACATTTTGTGTTAGACAAGAGTAAAACTTTTCTGATAAAAAAGTAAAAAACTATTTTTTTTTTGCTTTAAGGTAATGGTAATCATGTTAATTTATTAAATCTTTTTTTTTTGCTTTGTACACCACAAATTAATTATAAGGCTTATAATTATAATTAAATTGTTATTATTTTATATCCGTAAAAATCGAAAACTGATGAGAGTTTTAGTGTGAAATTAAGAATTAATTATTTATTTGACTATATATGATTGATGACAACAAATTTTAGTAGCTAATTTGAAAAATGGCTTACTTTTTCCAGTATGCTATATAATGTAGTTTAATTTTCAAGCCATATGTTTAATTTTAAAGCTAATAAAAGGTAGATGCCCCAGAAGCTCAGCATTTGTGTAATCAATGTAAATTTACCAAATTATGTTGAACAACCTTAAACATCCTTTTGAAATTCTTGCACAATAAACGTTCATTACCCACAATTAGCAAACGTGGCGTCTTATGTGTACCTAATACAGGTCCCGAACGAGTTATAGTATAAAATAATTTTTTTTAACTCATAATATTATTGAGAATAGTTATTTTAACATGGACAAACATAATATAAATATTAACAAATAGTTAGAGACGGAAAATAACACCATGTGAGTTCTGATCGCATCACTATGAACCCATTTTCTATTTTGTAACCGAATTCGATTGTTTTCTTTATGTTCTTATTGCTCGCTAGAGTGAATAATTTGTAAAAGCTGTCACAGTTACAGGTAGTAAATGTGATTAAAGACTTTCTAATCAATACATTTTTTGTATGCAAATGTAGTTAACTCCTTAGAGCTGGTTTTTGGTATTTGCTTATTTCATCCAACAATATTTTAAAATTTTGAAACACTTTATCTTAAAAATGAATTAGAAAACAATGAAGTTTTTAATGTAATTGAGGAAAGGCACGCTTATTAAACATAACAAATTAAACAAAGTACATAAAATTTGTTTTTGTTTCGCTTACCGCGTAATCGAATCACAGAATGGTTACAGGCTCCTCGGGGAGGTATGCAGATCTGAGGTCAAATATTTCTTAGTCTGATGAAGTGATAAACAATAATCCAGTCA